GACGGGCAGCGCTTCCCGATCCCAAATCCCCCTTCTCCCAGCACCTGCCCGCTCCTGGCCCCGGTGAGCACCAACCTCCGATCCCCCTTCTCCCGGTAACGTCACGGCCCCCGGCGGGTGACGTTCCCCGCCCTCCCCCGCTCCCGGCGGGCAGACCCCTCACCCTTCCCCGCTACCGGCTCCGGCGGGCGGCGTTCCCCACCCTCCCCCGAGCCCGTCCCGCTCCCAGCGGGCAGCGCATCCCACCGTCCCCAAACACCGGTCCGTGTCCCGGACAGCGCGTCTCCCGTCCCCCGGTCCCGACGCCCCCGCCCCGCACCTGCTTTCGCTTTCCTTTCCCGCACGGCGGGGGCGGGAGGGGGAAGGGGCGGGGCCTGGAGGGAGAAGGGGGCGGGGTTAGACGTCGCCCCGCCCCCCCCCCCGCGAGCGCCGGGTCGGGCTGAGCGCAGGCGCGGGTTCGGGCCGTTCCGTTCCGTTCCGTGAGGCGGCGGCGCGGCCATGCTGCAGAGCCTGGGCCTGGTGGGCACCATCGCGGAGGGGGACGCGGGCCCCGAAGACCCCGAGTCCGGGGGCTCCGAGGATGAGGAGGTGGGGCCGGGCCGGGGCGGGGGAGGCCGGGTCGGATCGGGCCGGGCCCCCCCGGCGGTGGTTGCTCATTGCTGTTACCACAGGAGCCGCGGCGGGCGCCGGGCCCCAGGCGGCGGGGCTCGGCAGGAGGGGATTTCAGCGCCGCTTTCGTCTTCGGTGAGGCGGAGGCCGGCGGGGAAGGCGCCTGGGCGGCGGCGCTGCGCCAGCTCCGCGGCAAGGTGAGGCCTGGGGCCTGGAGCGGGGTGCGGGGCCTGGGGCCGCTGCCCCCGCCGGGCTCCTCACCGCTCCTATGCCCTCATCTCCTGCCCAGAGACCCGCCACCACGCTGGACGAGAAGATTGAGAAAGTGAGGCAGAAAAGGAAGGTCCAGGTCAGAGCCTTTCTCTCTCGTTGCTGTAAAGCCTGGTGTGGGTTTGGGTTGTGCTGGGTTCCCTCCAGGGCACAGCTGTGAGAGCCCTGAGCTCATCACCTCCACGGGGTGTGCAGCCACACGCAGAGTCACAGAATGGTTTGGGTTGGAAAAGACCTTAAAGATAAACGAGTTCTAACCCCCCTGCCCTGGGCAGGAACACCTCCCACCAGACCAGGTTGCTCAAAGCCCCATCCAACCTGGCCTTGAACACCTCTAGGGATGGGGCATCCTCAGCTTCTCTGGGCAACCTGTTCTAGTGCCTCACCAACTAACTGTAAAGAATTTCTTCCTAATATCTAACCTAAATCTCCCCTACTTGAGTTTAAAACTGTTACCCCCTCATTGTGTCACTCCCTTCCCTGATCAGGAGTCCCTCCCCATCTTACATGCAGCCCCTTTAGGTACTGGAAGTCCCCCCAGAGCCATCTTTTCTCCAGGCTGCATGACCCCAGCTTGTCCTCACAGCAGAGTGGCTCCAGCCCTCTGATCATCAGCCTGATGCATTGCTGAACTAATGAGAATGCAGAATTGTAATTCTTAAGGTTATGCAAAACCTGTGAATTATCTGTGAATAGGGTCATAATAACAACAAACAAAAGGTCACAAAGAATTGAAGTTTCTTTTTTATCCTTTCTTTTTAAAAAATAATTTTCTAGGAAAGAGAAGCTAAACAAGCAAAAGCAAGAGATGAAGATGCAGAGAATGAGGATAATAAATCCAAGAAGGAGGAGTCTGAGGATTTCAGTAGGAATGAAGAAGAAGAAGATGTGGAGTCTCAGTATTCATTGGATGATGAAACTATCTTCACAAAAGCAGGTATCAGCAGTACATAGAGAGATGGTGTCCTGGTTTCAGCTGGGATAGAGTTAATTTTCTACCTAGTAGTTGATGGGGTTTGGGTTTAGTGTGACAATGTTGATAACAAATATTGTTTAAACTGTTGCTAAGTAATGCTTATATTAAGTCGAGAACTTTCTCAGCTTCCCATGGAAGCAGAGAGGGAGCGCAGACAGGACAAGCAGGCCAAAGGAATATTCTGTACCATAGACATCACGTTCAGTAGATAAATGGTGGTTGGCCAGGGGGGATGGAATCAGCAATCACTGCTCGGTATGGGCTGGGAAATTGATCACTGGGTGGTGAGAAATTGTATTGTATCATTCCTTTTGTGTATATTTTACCATTATTATTATTATTTTCTCTTCCATTACTGCTCTATTACACTGTTGTTATTTCAACTCACGAGATTCGCAACTCAGAGCAAAAGTATGAGATAAATGTAGTCATGTATCATTATGTGTTTCACTGTGCTTGTTAATTCCTGTTCCATTTCTCTTTCTTGCAGATACGGTCAAAGTGAAGGAACGAAAGAGATCAAAAAAGGGTGAAAAGGTAAAGGACAGTAGGTCACTCTTCAGTATTTCTTCTGGAGGAATTTGACTTTGGTTAATAAACTGCTGCCTGTGTTCCAATTTTGTTGTTGTTGCTGTTTCTAGGAAGCAGAGAGCTTTTTTGAAGATGCCTCTCAATATGATGACAACTTGTCATTCCAGGACATGAATCTTTCACGACCTTTGCTAAAGGTATTTACCTAGTTCAGTTATTACATATGTTACTCTGAAGAATTTTGGCCAGCCTCCCCTCCACCTGGTAAATTTCCCCTCCTCTGAAAAGGAAATGACATGGAAGCTAATGTGATAGCCCTTTAGGAGCTGTTATTCCCAAATAATTGAAATTGTTCTTCGGTTTGCATTATGTCAATGCTGTCTGGAGTGGGACTTGTCACAGACTCATACAATGGCAGAGGTGTGAAGGGACCTCTGGAGGTCATCTTGTCCAACCCTCTGCTTAAGCAGAGCCACCTGGAGCCGGTTGCCCAATGACTAGATGGCTGTTGACTGTCTCTGAGGATGGAGACTCCACAACCTCTCTGGGCAACCTGTGCCCGTGCTCAGTCACCCTCACGGGGGAAAAAGTGTTCCCTGGTGTTCAGAGGGAACCTCCCGTGTTTCAGATTGTGCCCATTGCTTCTGGTGCCACCACTGGGCACGACTGAAAAGAGCTTGGCTTCCTCTTTGCTCCCTCCCTTCAGGTATTTATATACATGGATAAGGTCCTCTCCAAGACTTAACTCCACGCTGAGCAGTCCTGGGTCTGTCAGCCTTTCCTCATATGGGAGGTGCTCCAGTCCCTTCATAATCTTTGTGGCACTTTGTACTGGATTCTCTCCAGTACATCCATGTCTCTCTTGTACCCGGGAACCCAGCACTGGACACATCACTCTGGGTGTGGCCATTCCAGAGACAGAGTTTAATTGCTCTATCCCCTTTACAGGCAATCACAGCTCTTGGCTTCAAGCAACCAACCCCAATTCAGAAGGCTTGTATCCCAGTGGGTCTTCTGGGGAAGGATATTTGTGCCTGTGCTGCCACTGGGACAGGTAGGGATTGAGCAGGGCACAGGAAATGTAGATAATTAGCTATTCACAGTAATTGGTAATTCTTCTTAATTTTCTTCTCCAGGTAAAACAGCTGCCTTCATCTTGCCTGTCCTTGAGCGCCTGATTTACAAACCTCGTCAAGCTCCAATAACACGGGTGTTGGTTCTGGTGCCAACACGAGAGCTGGGCATCCAGGTGCACTCTGTCACAAAACAGCTGGCACAGTTCAGCAGCGTCACAACTTGCCTCGCTGTAGGTGAGTATTAAGTTGCTTTTGTGAACTGCAGAGCTGGCTGTGAACTGCTCTGTGGAGCTGGGAGTTCGGTGTTGTTACACTGGAGGCTGTGCAGTTATCCCAGGCGTGCGTCTAGTAGGTGTGCGATGGTTTAAAATCTCATTTTCCAGTACCGTGCCATACTTTTTGTTGGTTTCTGAGAAAGAAGTGGCCCCCACCTTTTCTATTGTGAACATGATATTAACATGAGTTGTTTCCCATTCCTCAGGCAATTTGGATCTGCATGCTCTGCTCAGGGAGTCAGCACTCTGTGTTTGCTCTCTTCCAGGTGGGCTGGATGTGAAGACTCAGGAGGCAGCTCTACGCTCGGGGCCAGACATTCTTATTGCCACTCCTGGGCGACTGATTGATCATCTCCACAACTGCCCTTCTTTCCACCTGAGCAGTGTCGAGGTGCTGATTTTGGATGAAGCAGACAGGTAGGCTAAGCAGGACAGTGGTGAAAAATGAAATGGTAGTTTTCTGCTTTCCTTTTCCCAGGTTATAGCACAGTCTTTGTTGCCCTGCCTTAAGTTATGTTTCTTAGCTGGAAGCAGATGAAGCTGCTTTACCTTGCTCTTTTTCTGCTCTCTAGGATGCTGGATGAATACTTTGAGGAACAGATGAAGGAAATAATCAGGTTGTGCTCCCACCACCGTCAGACAATGCTTTTCTCTGCCACAATGACAGAGGAGGTGAGACAGGCTGCTGAGAACCATACCGGGGCAGAAAGCTGAATGCAAGTTTGTCTAGTCTTTTAACAGAAATTATGTGGACTTTTTTTTTTTCTTAATCTGTTTTGTAGGTGAAAGATTTGGCTTCTGTTTCCCTGAAAAATCCCGTCCGAATTTTTGTGAACAGCAACACAGATGTTGCCCCTTTCCTGCGGCAGGAATTTATCCGGATCAGACCCAACCGAGAGGGGGACCGTGAGGCCATTGTTTCAGGTTAGTGCTCAGCAAAGAAAAGCTGGAATCAGTAGGTGACTGAGAAGCAGACTCCTGAGATCAGCCTTTTTATTTCATTTTTCTTTCTTTCAGCTCTGTTGACACGAACCTTCCCAGACCACGTGATGCTTTTCACCCAGACCAAGAAGCAGGCTCACCGAATGCACATCCTGCTGGGGCTGATGGGGCTGCGCGTTGGGGAGCTTCACGGGAACCTCTCTCAGGCACAGAGGCTGGAAGCACTCAGGTATTAGCAGGCTTTGTTGGCAACCACAGGCAAAAAAAACCCCTTAGGATTTGGAAGTTTTAGGGCAAAGTGGTTTGCTGTATTCATTGCTAATGATTTGCTCTCTCTGCTCAGGCGCTTTAAGGATGAGCAGATTGATATTCTTGTAGCTACAGATGTGGCCGCCCGTGGCCTTGATATTGAAGGTGTTAAAACAGTGAGTATTTCCAGTGCTGAGCTTTTTAATGAGTCCTTTAATACTGTTTTCCTACTAACCCTGTTTCTTTTACAGGTAATCAATTTTACCATGCCCAACACTATCAAACACTATGTTCATCGGGTGGGTCGGGCAGCAAGAGCAGGCAGGGCTGGTCGCTCGGTTTCACTTGTGGGTGAGGAAGAGCGCAAGATGCTGAAGGATATTGTGAAAACTGCCAAAACACCAGTGAAAGCCAGAATTCTCCCCCAAGGTAAAAGTTTTTAACTTCACTGAGGTAAAATGCGGGAGAGCAGTAGGCAGGGAATCTCATCGTACAGAGAGACACTGAAAGAGGTGCTGTAAAACAAGATGGACTTCACATGGGCTGCTGCTGATGGTCACTCTGTATCGTTCTCAGATGTTATATTAAAATTTCGAGAGAAGATTGAGAATCTAGAGAAAGATGTGTACGCAGTTCTGTGCTTGGAGCGTGAGGAACGTGAGATGCAGCAGTCAGAGGCCCAGGTAAGAGGTTTTTTAGGTTGTTTTTTTATTTTTTACCTTAGTTTTTTTAGGATCTGGGGTAGATACCGTGCATAAGGAGGTTACCCTGATGTACTTGACCTGCCTACTTCAGAAATGGAAGAGAGAGATTTTTTTAGCCACCATGAACTCACTTCTCACCTGAATTATCTCAGATCAATAAGGCAAAGAAGCAGCTGGAGGCAGGAAAAAAAGAGAGTGCGGGTGAGGGCTTGGAGCGCAGCTGGTTTCAGACCCGTGAGGAGAGGAAGAAAGAGAAAAGTGAGTCATGACACTGCTGCCGTGTTAAACTCCATAGCTGCAACTAGACTCTGCTCTGTACTTTAAAAGGTTCTTCATTCTACGTTTTTCTTTGTCTCTCCAGTGGCTAAAGCCCTGCAGGAGTTTGACCTAGCACTACGAGGCAAAAAGAAAAGGAAGAAATTTATGAAGGACCAACAGAAAAAAGTCCAAATGACGGTGAGTATGTCTGCAGACAAGTTGAGACCCTTGGTGGACTATTCTAGTTTTCCCTTAACAAAACCTCATCTCACTGTAAACTTGCACTTTAACACATTTCAGCCAGAGGAAAGGTCACAGTTTGAAATCTTGAAATCTCAAATGTACGCTGAGCGGCTGGCGAAGAGGAACCGCCGAGCAAAGCGAGCCAGAGCCTTGCCAGAAGAGGAACCAGCAGCAGCACCAGCAGGTTGGAGACTTTTGTTTTACTGCTGACACCTTTTCTCAGGGACTTTGTCACAAATAGATAAACGAAACTAATTTGTATAGAGGAATGGCCACCACTGCTGGCCAGGGTGTGTGTTTGCAGGGTATCACTGCTTTTCCTAATGGTTTGGCTAATGGCGGTCAAGGCTACAGGGCTCTAGTAAACAAGATGATGCTGTGGTCTTCTCTTTGCAGCCAATTTTTTGACTCTTGTTTCTGTGTTAGGCCCCAAGCGGAAGAAAAAAGTGTCTGTATTCGATGAAGAGCTTACCAACACGAGCAGGAAGGCTCTGAAGCAGTACCGTGCCGGGTAATGTCTTAGCAGTAATACATTAGTCCAGACTTCAGTAGGTGGGGATCTTCTTGCATTTCTGGACTTTCTGGGAAAGCTTTAATTTATACTGGGGGAGAAGTTGGGCAGAGCAGAGATGGGATTCTTTCAAGAAGTACCTGTGCTGTTGATGTACTTCAGTGGTTCTTGTCTTACCTCTCCCCCTTTCTCTCTCTCTTAAAAAGCCCATCATTTGAAGATCGAAAACGCTTGGGTATGGCCCAACGTAGGAAAGGAGGAAACTTCAAATCCAAATCCAGGTATAGCTCCCTCTACTTTCTTATTCAAGTTGGTGTTTTCTTTCTGCCGCCTTTTTCTTCATTTTGTGATTGTTTAAAGGCTCTTGCTGACAGGTTTGTTGGTTCTGCAGGAGCTTACCCTCCTGCTGCAGGTCTGATGCTGGGGGCATCCATGGATACTGCCTTTAATGGCACATTCCTGGGCTTCTGCTTGGGAAAGTGTTACCTAGAAAATGCTCAGTGCTGCTCCTCATCACTAAGAATTGGATGGGTGGAATTAATTTCAAATCTCTTCTCTTTCAGGTACAAGAGAAAGTAAGAACTGCTGGCAACTACCAAATGGGTAATTTGGACAATGCAGACATTTCAGCTGTGCTCTCTCCAGGGCCTGGATTGCTTTGTACTGCAAGGAGACAACTTCAGTAAACTTGAAGTTTTTCTTCAAGTTCTGGAATAGCTGTGGGGTGTTTGTTAATACCTGGTTGAAGACTCTGTGTGAACCCATCTTCAGCAGCCTATGCAATAAAAGATTATTTTTTTCTAAAAAGTTTGCAACTGAGAGCTGGGCTATGTTACATCTTTCTATCAGACTTTTGGTCAAAGAATATGGGGTTGGAAGGGACCTCTGGAGATCACCTAGTCCAACTCCCCTGCCAGAGCAGGTCCACCCAGAGCAGGTTGCACAGGAACATGTCCAGGTGGGTTTTGAATGTCTCCAGAGAAGGAGACTCCACCACCTCCCTGGGCAGCCTGTTCCAGGGCTCTGCCAGCCTCAAAGTAAAGAAGTTCCTCCTCATGTTTAGATGGAACTTACACTGACTTCATGGTAACTCAAGTTGTCTGTAGGGCAAACTGCAGAATGCTTATGGCTGCGTTCATACACTTCTGTGATCTCAATTAATTAATAAGGCTGAAAAGGATTTCTAGGGTTTAGAGCCTATTTCTAAACTGAGCAAAATTAATCCCTGTAAGGAGCACAGACCAGTATATACCTAAGCGGCGCAGACCAACTGTCAACTTCTGAGCTGTCAACACACATTGAGCTTTTTGCTGTTTTTTTTTTTTTGTGGTGACCGAAATGCAACAGTGACTCAAGGCAGTGTGTTTTCCAACTTTATTAAAAAGGGCTAATTTTACCAACAGTAGACATAAAATATACATAACAAAGTTTTGAGGGGGGGTACTGCTCGGTGTATCCTCTTGATCAGTCTTCTCACAGGTCAAAGGAAGGTTATAGAAAATCATGGCCGGGGTGGACGCATACCAGGCGGAGGGGGTCCTGGGAATAAAGGAGAAAGTTGAATATTGAAGAGGAAAGAGGAAGTGAGGCTAAACTAGAAAGCTGTTTTTGCCATGCTCAACGTGGCCCTAGGACCCCGTTTTTGCCACTGATGCATTATTGAGAACTAGGAGAGCCAGGGAGGCATGGAAACACCCTTCAAAGGTTTTAGTTGTTATGGGTCTTGCAGCTTTTAGGCATTGAAGATAACCTCCGCTCACCTCTCATTCCTGGGGGTGGTGGCCTCATGCCCGGTGGGGGCATTCCCATAGGAGCACCTCGGCCTGGTGGCATCCCCATTGGTGGGCCCATGGGTGGTCTCATGCCTGGAGGAGGTCCCATCATCCCTTATGCCAGAGAAAGAACAAGCACATATAAATCCAGCTGAATATTCCAGGCACTAGTTGGATATCAAAATAATCCTCCATAATACCAGATCTTCATCAGACTGGGATAAATATCTCCTAATCACCCATTTTGCTACTTAACACGAGCTCCTTGTTGCCCGACTCTATCTGAAGAGTGATTCCTACCTGGAGGAGGTGCTCCTCTGCTCATGGGTGGGGGAGGACCCCCGCGCCCTGGTGTGTACTGAGTCGGGGCTCCTGCTATGCTGGCAGTGGCTGCTGCAGCAGCGGCTGCGACCGTGCCCCGACCCTGAGGTGTCATCACCTGGTAACAAAATAAACAGGTTCACAGAAACAGCACATCATCTACTGTACATGAGGAATTCAAAAATAAGACTTTAATTACTATCCCTTCAGAAAATGACACCAGCCTCCTCTTGTGCTACAGTTCAATGGATACAACTCGAATTCTGTGCATGAAGCTGTGATTTTTAAGCCTCTTCCATCATGTCAGACGCATCGGGCTCAAACTCACTCCCAACAGAAACTAAAATCACAGTTCTCCCACTCCACCGATTTCTTGCATCGCGTTAGTACCAAGAATTAAAAGCCATCCCAGAATATACCAGACAACTCTTTTTTTAATGGGTCACAGCGTCTCACCTGTTGGGACGGTCCTCCCACTCCTCTGACAGGGCCAGCTAATCCCGCCGGAGCCTGCGGCATGGGTGCCCCCGCCGGAACGCCCCTCCCGGCTGCTCTCCCAACTCCAGGGCCTCCAGCAGCTCCAGCAAGCGGTACCCGGGCGATGCCAGTCTGAAAACAGACACACACCCCCCCAAAGGAAAGATTCATCAAAACAGAAGTCATAGAATCATCAAATTGCCCAGGTTGGAAGGGACCTTTAAGATCATCTAGTCCAACCATCAACCTAATTCTGATAAAAAAAAATAAACCACATCACTAGCCCATGTCACTAAGCACTGTCAACCCCTTTCAACCCCCTGTCAACCTCCAGGGATGGTGCTTCAACCACTCTCCTGGGCAGCCTGATCCAATGCTTAATAACCCTTTCCATGTAAAAAATTTTCCTAATATCCAGTTTGATCCTCAGATCCTAGGGATGCCCACAGCCCTCTGTCCAATTCATGTCCCAGCTCACAAAGGGATTAGAATTTCCTGCAGTGAAATTTGTTGGACCCAGTCACAACAGTGTCTGGAAGTCAAGGACAACACCACAGCAGTGTTCTCCTGCAAGGAATCAAACTTATCAGGTGTCCCTTCCCTTCCTCCTTGCTTCTGCGCCCATTCTCCTTACATCTTTTGGAGGTGGTCCTTCAACTGTCATGGACACCAGGTTTTCTCCTCGCAGCAACACAAGGCCAAGGACTCGCTTCTCCTCCCGCTCTGGCTGTTTTGAATTTTTAGGTCTAGTGAGAACAGAAAGAAAACATTGCAAGGCAGAGAAAATAAAAAACATAAAAATCAATGCTGCTCTTTGAATTTGCAATAGAATGTGTGACAAGATCACTCCAGAGGGGAGATCACTGTAAAACCCACATTTTTACATACACAGAGATGACTAAAGACAGGATGCATATTGTCTCCATAGGGTTTTCCCCCTGATGCTTAACGGCTTCGTGACTCCGTTGGCATCATGTAAAGATCAAACCAGCCCTTTATGCGATGTCAACAACAGGTTCATGGAATCACAGATCACGGAATTGTCAGAGTTGGAAGGGACCTCCAGAGATCATCCAGTCCAACTCCCCTGCTGAAGCAGGGCTGCCCAGAGCACATCACTCAGGAGCACCCAGGCGGGGCTTGAAGATCTCCAGAGAAGGGGACTCCACACCCTCCCTGGGCAGCCTCTTCCAGGGCTCTGACACCCTCACCCCAAAGAAGTTCTTCCTCAGATTGGAGTGGAACTTCCCATGTTCCAGCTTGTGCCCCTTGCCCCTTGTCCTGTCCCTGGGAACCACTGAAAAGAGTCTGGCTCCATCATCCTTCAACCCACCCTTTAGGAACTTGTCAGCATTAACAAGGTCTCCCCTCAGCCTTCTCTTCTCCAGGCTAAAGAGTTCCAGCTCTCTCAGCCTTTCCTCATCAGGGACATGCTCCAATCCTTCAGTCATCTTTGTTGCCCCAGGCTGGACTCTCTCCAGCAGTTCCCTGTCCCTCTTGAACTGGGAGCCCAGAACTGGAGGCAGGATTCCAGTTGTGGCCTCCCCAGTGCAGAGCAGAGGGGGAGGATGACCTCCCTCGACCTGCTGGCCATACTCTTCCCTGTGCAGCCCAGGATCCCACTGGCCTCTTGGCCACAAGAACACATTGCTGGCTCATGGACAGTTCCCCATCCATCAGGACTCCTAGATCCTTCTCCTCAGAAGTGTCTTCCAGCAGGTCCATCCTTAACCTCTACTAGTACCTGAGGTTCTTCCTCCCCAGGGGCAGGACCCTACCTTTGCCCCTGCTGAACTGAAACAAAGCCCCCCCTGAACCACAGCGCTTTGGGGGTTTGACAAATTGGGACTTAAAACCAGGACTGATCCCTGCAGAAGCCGCCATCAGACACTGCCCAGCCGCAGGGCCCGCTCTCCGCTCCGGGCGGGCGGGCAGGCGGCCCCGGAGCCGGGGATGGGTGAGGGAGGGGTGGGGGGTACTCCCGGTGAAGGGGGGGTACTCCCGGCGGAGGGGGGGGTACCCCCGGTGCTCCCCTCACTTGATCTTGCGGAACTCGTCGCAGTCGCAGAGGATGAGGTTCATGTGCTTGTCGAAGGCCTTGAAGGCTTTGCCCCTGCTGAACTGAAACAAAGCCCCCCCTGAACCACAGCGCTTTGGGGGTTTGACAAATTGGGACTTAAAACCAGGACTGATCCCTGCAGAAGCCGCCATCAGACACTGCCCAGCCGCAGGGCCCGCTCTCCGCTCCGGGCGGGCGGGCAGGCGGCCCCGGAGCCGGGGATGGGTGAGGGAGGGGTGGGGGGTACTCCCGGTGAAGGGGGGGTACTCCCGGCGGAGGGGGGGGTACCCCCGGTGCTCCCCTCACTTGATCTTGCGGAACTCGTCGCAGTCGCAGAGGATGAGGTTCATGTGCTTGTCGAAGGCCTTGAAGGTGCCGATGAAGACGCGGCCGTCCTGCAGGATGCACCGCATGCGGTAGTCGATGTGCTGCAGCATCTTGCTGCTCTTCCCCACCGTCTGCAAGAGACCGCCGTTACACCGGGACCCAGGCTGGACCCCTCTCCCCCCTTCCCGACCCCCTCCTCGCCC